TAACTGACTTTATCTGCTTGTCCATCCTGAAAGTGCAAAGAAAAAAATGACTCCTACATTTCTGGCAGTGGTGTGGACTCAAGAAGAGGGTGTACTTGCTTTATCAGCAAACGATATCTTCTGCCAAAGGGAAGAAGCTGGAACATGGCTTTTCCAGGGGGTCCAGAAGAGCTCAATTTAAGAGTCTAGATTCATAAAGAACCTCCAGAACAGGCAGATCACAGCTCGCAGTCCTTTTTGCAGAGCGTAGCACTTTGTTTACTGCTGTAGAGTTGTGAAGAATATTCTCAACAAACGAATCGATAACGTAATTGTCTTCTGTAAAAAGGCCAAGACAACTCAATGGCAATCATAGCAGCCCGCAGATAAAGCCTGAACAAATAAAGAGGTCTTAAGTCGGCTTTTGAAGGAGTCAACAGATTCAATGGAACGCAGAGAGAGCGCGTGTATTGCGCCGAACCACGAGCTGTATAAATAAACATTACTTACTTACAAACCTTCTGCTTGTATTTAATCTACTAATAAAAGACCAAATCCAATTTATCCAAATACCAGTACAGTATTTGTGTATTGCCTTAAATCATAATGGCAGTCGTCTTGGAGGAATTTACATATTTGTTCATTTGCACAGAGAATCAGTTCAAACACAGAAAATGCAACAATAAAAACACATGGAGGCATTGGTTCATAACGGGCAGATGACTATAAATGTTGTTAAATGTCCTGGATCACCACCACTGTCCTTAGATCCTCCTGCATCGGCAAGGAACCACTAAAACAAAAACCCAGTGGGAAAAAAGCGAGAGAATCAAACAGTTCATAGACAGAAAATACAATAATAACAAACGTCCAGGAGCCGTTATTCCATAGGGAGCAGGATGACCACTGTCCAGAAATATTAAGAAATGTCCTAATTCTTGGGTTTCATATGACGTCAGGGCAGTGGCACAAATAACAAACGTAGGACAGGACGTGACGTATCCTGGCGGTGCAGTCTTCCGGGTTTATACACGGAGATATAGTAGAAGAAGAAGCGCTGTCAAAATGCCGTCTGTTTGTGCGGTGTACGCTTGTAGCAACCGCACAAAGAGAGAGAAAGACAAGAGTTTCTTCCGTATTCCAACTGTGGTCCGAATGAAACACTGCAATTTCTTCTGTTTTTTTCTCCAATAATGCCTGAAATCAAGACTCTTTAGAGAATTTTTTTTTTAGTACTCCCTTAGTGTCCCCGATTAAGACTGTTCCAACAACCGTACACCGCACAGGAGGAGAGCCTTTTGACTCCAAAACAGACACGATTTACACAGTTTTCTCAAGGGAGCAAAACTGAGTTGTCCACCTCTGCTCATTCGCCCCCTACTGGCCAGTTTAATGAAACCCAAGAATAGTCCAGCAGTTGCATGCATACTTGCTGGTCCATGAAGGGCACCTGTGTATAAAACGCACCAGCTAAATACAAATGTAAAAAGTACATTTTTGTCCATGCATAGACCTCACTAGAATAGATTCTCAGGTTTTCATGTTGTAATGTGACACTTCAACAGGTGATGGAGCAAAACAAAACCATTAAAACTGTTTTTATTGGTACAACATGATTTAATAACATGTTTTAATAACATGTTTTAATGACATGTTTTAATGTGTTGTTAAAACATGCTCCCTGGTGAATCTAATTTAACAATAAAAGTATGTCCCAACAGTACTAAAACTTGAGTCCTCATCTCTCTCTCTGCAGTTCACATAAACACACTGAAGCAGGAACGTCTTCAGAAATCAACGTCTGATAGAGCTGTGGCCAAATCTGCCCCTAAACTCCAGGGGGCGCTCTGACAAAATACAAAACAGATATTAGCCACATAGCTGTCAGCAGGTGTAACTAAAAAATCCAACATTGTTTGTTTTATGCTCAGATTGTTGCTTGTTGAGGTTGGAGGCCTGGTCAGTAATGTGATGGGAGACCTCTGGGAACTCCACGAGCCACAGTACGGCGACTGCAGCTGTAAAGTGCAAAAGTGCTGTTGTGTCTTTAGGCAAGACACTTTAACCACATTACAATGAGGCTGGTGTGTGTGTGAATGGTTGGTGGTAGTGGTAGGGGTTAATGGCATGTACTGGTTGCCTCGCTTCTGTCAGTGTGCCTCAGGGCAGCTGTGGCCGCAGTAGTAGTTATTTACCACCATGTATGGAGTGAATGAATAATACTGTGAAGTGTAATTGAACAAAGAGCCCTATATAAAACTGACGCATTGTTATTATTACTACTATTGTTATAATTATTTTCAAATCGATAAAGTAGATGAAGCAACTTTCAGTGTACATTCTGAAATTGCACAATTCATTCCAACAACACGATTCCTGGAGAAAGGCAGGGAGGATGCAGAGCGAGTGTGTCTAATAATAATGTTTGTATGTCAGTGTCTGCATCATTGATCCATTCGTCTTCATTACAGCTCTGTGTGAGTGCCGTTCTGAGGCTGCAGTGTTGACATGCACCACGGGGCCTCCACCGGTGTCCCTGCCGTCTCCATATGAGCGCCAGAACAGACAGAATAATTCAACTGCTGAAATAGGACACTGGTCTTAAATTTCTATTAGGATGTCAGTTTGGTGATGTCAAGGAATGTACTGCTGTGTTTCACATCAATAAAAGATCTGTCTGATCTGTTTTTGTCATGTTGGAAGTCTATTCATTATTTATACAGTGCATGCTTCACTGTTGACCCAATTAATTGTTGCGTAAGAGTTAATTATATTCCACCCACTCAAATAAGCAATCATGTAATCTACATGTGAGAGAAAAATTAGTTTCTCCAGCTTGCAGATTACTATAAGTTACTGTATCATTCATTCATTTTTCATCCCAGTGAGAGCGGCTAAAAGCACCAGCCTCTCACTGAACCTCCTGCAGGTGGTGGGTCCACAGGAGCATGGCTGCAGGTCTCTGCTAAAACCTGGAAATGTGAGACAGGTTTCTTCTCTGACATTGTTCAAATCCAGGTTACAAGCTGTTCTGTTTAGCTGTGCATTAGGGGTGGGCAAAATATATCGTAGACAATAATATCGTGAAAGTCAATTTGAAGATATGCTTTTTCGTATTATCGACCTATTTATTTTTCAATAGATATTACATTAATACAATTAGAGAAGGAAAGACGTCCATTCGTCTAATGTGTGCCTATGAAGCCAATCACTGCTTTATTTGTACATTTCAATATTGAGCCTTTTTGGATGTGTTCTGTGTTTCTTGAATCTGATTATTAATGTTAATATTTGTTAGTGCATGTTTTGCAAAGACGTGTGAAGCACTTTACACATAAAAAAACTGCAATTTTGATCGACACTGTCTCCTATCTTTAGATGCCCTGACAAGCAAAACATTGCAGATCATTGTGTGTAAAAACGATTGATTTTAAAGATATCGTGACAATATCGTTATCGGGAGTTGAGAAAAAAATATCAAGATATTTATTTTTGTCCAAATTGACCCCCCCCCCCCCCCCCCCCCCTACTGTGCATACAAGTGAAGGATTGTATCTTCACTCTTTTTAATGCACTGTGATCATTTATGATTTTAATCCCTTGTGCGATTGTTTTGATCTTGTTTTGTTAAGCACTTTTGAGTTGCTTTTTGTATCAATTGTGCTATACAAATAAAATAAGATAAGATTGACTTTATTGATCTCACACAGGAGAAATTTACACATTTGACATGGATAAAATCACTCAAGATTTGTGCAAGACATAAGTGTGCAAACGTGTTAAAGGCAAAAAATATGTAAACTTACCGTGCGTGCTTCAGACACAGCCTTGGTGGGGCTTCAGTGTCTTGCCCAGGGACACAACGACAGCAGAGGTCAGTGGGAGAAGATGAAGTAGGCCTTGTGGGGGGATCAAACCCATGACCATTAGACCTGAATGCTCTACTAAGTGAGCCACTGTCACCCTTTCAGGAGAAACTGGCCAGCTTCCATCATGCTGTATTTCTAACAGCGTCTTCAAAACAAATGTGCCAAATGCTGAACGGCTTGGCAGTGTTGCTATGACTCAGAGCCTCATTTTTTAGAAGCTACATTTATGATACGTCTGACCTTGTTAGATGTCCCGTTCGACTGCGAAGACTCCACAATCTCAACTGGTTACACACGTCAGATGACCTTATGTGCTTGTCACTTGTCACTTTACCTGCTATTACGTTGATATTATTACATATTCCATTCATCTACTATGATAATTCACTAGTCACCTTACCTGCTGCTATTATTACTATTGTTTTTCTGGTCATGCGCTCTGCAGTTCAATTACAATACCAACCATCTGTAAATGTAAAATCTAATGAAGGCTGTTGCTGGTGATAGTTTACTCCACAAGTGTCGTATCCTAGAGGTTCTTTATAAATCAAGACACTTAGAATAATCTATGACTCCTCTGGCTGCTGGAAAAGCCATGTTCCAGCTTCTTCCCCTAAGGCAGAAGATATCGTTTGCTGAGATGCAGGAAATCTCGATATGCTAACAACTTCTTTTCACAAGCTGTTATCAGTCTGAACAAATTTTCATCTGGTTTTGGTTCTTGCATTTGAGTTGAAAATGTTTTTTGTTGATTGGTTTCACAGTGACAATTGTTTCTTGTACTTTTTTGCTTGTTTATTCATGAACTTGTCTAGTGCAGGCTAAGGGATTTTTGCACATGTATTCCAATGTAGTTTTTCTGCAAATGGCAAATAAATTGATCTATTTTTTTATCATCTACTATCTTAAATAATAGATCCTGTTTGATGTGTGCATCACCTGAGGGCTCTCATATCTCGTTCCATTCTGCTGAAACGTGTGCAACTCGTGCAAATTTCCCCACTGAGGGACGAATAACAGTCCATCTTATCTCATCTTCTTTCCTGTGTGTGTTACAGATTTGACCACGCCCTGGTTTGGTCTGGTTGGAGCCAGGAGGAAAAGCATGAGCTGCTGTTGCGGTGGCTATGTGTGACACAGTGAGGTGGGTCAATGGAGACCGAAGGCTACCGTGACCTCCTGGAGACCAGCGATGGGCAGGGGGCGAGCTCGCTGGACGGAGGCGGCGGAGGGGCGGCGGACGAGAACTGGAGCACGCCGTACCCTCTGGGCTTCCAGGTGTCTCTGACCACCGTGCTGATGCTGGAGCTGGTGCTGGGCTTCAGCAGTAACCTGACAGTGCTGGTGCTGTACTGCGCTCAGTCCAACCTGGTGGACTCTGTGAGTAACCTGGTCACTGTGAACCTCCACGTGCTGGACATCCTGGTGTGTCTGCTCTGTCTGCCCCTCACTGTCGCCGTCATCCTGGTGCCGGCCAATGGGAGCGGAGTGGGGAGCCTGGCCACGCTGTGCTGCTTCCATGAGGCTTGCGTCACCTTCACCAGCGTTGCCACAGCGGTCAACGTGCTGGTCATCAGTCTGGACCGTTATGACATCTCTGTGCGCCCTGCCAGTCGCTTGCTGACCCCTCGACGAGCAGGCCTCTTATTGGCTGCGGTGTGGGCCGTGTCTCTGGCTGTGTTTTTTCTACCGTTCCTTGAGGGGGACTTCTTCTCCAGCGGCGACGACGAAGACGATGAACCGGACGACTCTGAGATAACCACAGGTCCTGCCCTCTCCTTCTCCCCCGCTCCCTCGGCGCTCCCCTCCTCCCCCCCTCACCATCTCAGCCCAGCATGGCAGAACCGGACTCTGCTGTGCGTAGGAGGCCAGGGCTACTACACCGGGATGGCCATGTACTATCACCTGTTGCTGCAGGTGCCGTGTTTCTTCGTAGCGGTGGTGGTCATGTTGTTCACATACTCTCGGATTCTCCAGGCTCTGAACATCCGCATCGGCTCCCACATGATGAGGGGGTCTCGCTCCAAAGACTCCACCTGCAGGATCCGCTGTAGGAGGAAGAAAAGGCAGGACCTGAGCTTGCCCACAGACGCAGCCTCCTCCAACCAGAACCAAAACGCATCTCACCCCCCGCTGCTTCCTTCCCCCACCCCGACTCCCACGTCCCCCCCTACGCTCGCCTCCTTCCCCCCGGGTATGTCCGACAGCGGAGCCACAGTCACGACCGTCAGCACCGCGGCTACTACACCCATCGCCACCACGCCAGCCACCCCAGCTTCCCCCACGCTGCCCTCAGCCTCGGCCCAGACTCGCAACACCCCTCTGCCGGCCTCGTCCGTGGGGGTGCAGGCCTCGGTCTCCGCCATCATTGCTTTGAGAAGAGCAGTACGCAGACACAGAGATCGCCGGGAACGTCAGAGGCGCGTTCTCAAAATGTCCCTGATCATCATCTCCACCTTCCTGGGCTGCTGGGCGCCTCTGTCCGCGGTCAACGTCCTCATCCTGTGCATGGGCCCCAGCGACGGCTTGGTGCGGCTCCGTCTCTGCTTTCTGGCCATGGCGTACGGGACGACGATATTCCACCCTCTGCTCTATGCCTTCACCAGGCAGAAGCTGAGGCGAGCGCTCAAAACCAGGGTCAAGAAACGGGTGGTGTCGCTGCTGCAGGTGGACCCGGCGCCGAGCGGGGGGACCGTCATTCATAACTCTTGGGTGGAAGGTGGCGGGCAAAGAAAAGCGCGTAAGTCCAGAGTCGAGGCCAGCGACGGGACTGACCGCTGTCTGACCGAAGCAGTGCGAGAGTGAGACGATGGTGATTGTAAAAACTACCAGAAAATGATGCGAGAAAGATATTTATTAGATGTTGCAAAAGGACAAACAGTGACATGGGTAATGAGCCATTGCGTTTACAAAGGATAGATTGTGTTGGGGCTGACGCGCCGGTTCCAGTAGAGCTACTATACTCTTTAAACTTTACTCTTTACCAGCAGAACCAACACTGCAAAGCCTCACAGCACTATGACCACCAGAAATTCCCCGCGCAGCACCTGTTTTATACACCACTGCTCCGGCCCGCGCACTTTTAACCCGCATGTGCTTCTACCAACGCACAGCTCGACAGCTCAGAGACACAAACCACATGCACTCTGAAGCCCACATATTAGAATACACCTACTGCATTTGAGCATTCTTCTGTGAAAGCACACTGGTACTTTTCCTGCACAGAATATCTCAGAGAAATATACATTCGTGGATGTTGTCCCCTAAGTTTTTCATGCCTTAATTCGGTTGTTATTAGAAAATCCTATTAGTGAAATTCTCGTGGTGCTGAATGTGTCACTGTATGTTTACAAAGATGTTTCCGTCTGCACATATCGTAACAATATAACAATAATTAAAGCAGATACATGCAAGATATAAAGTTTACAGGCAACTGCAAAAAATATACAGCAGATTTACTTTAAAACATGCACCATATTGTCAAAAGTCTCCAACATAAACTCTAAGGCAGGGATGTCAAACCGGAGGCCGAAACCCTCTGTTTTAAAACTGGTTTAGAAGTGATTTTGGACTGGGTCAGACCTGGTTGTTGACTAGATTTTGACCTGGCTCAGACCTGGTTTAGACCTGGTTCATATCTGGTTCAAACTTGGTTCAAACTTGGTTCAGACCTGGTTCGGATCTGGTTCAGACCTGGTTCGGATCTGGTTCAGACCTGTTAAGACCTAGGACAGACCTGGTTCAAACCTGATTTAGACTAGATTTTGAACTGGCTCAGACCTGGTTCAGACCTGGTTCAAACCTGGGTTAGACTAGATTTTGAACTGGCTCAGGCCTGGTTCCGACCTGGTTCAGACCTGGTTCAGACATGGTTTAGATCTTGTTTAGACCTGGTTAATTCCAACCAAGCAGGAGCAAACCAGACTCCACCCATTTCCTCACTGGAGAAAATGAGTAGAGTCTGGAGCTCTCTTGCTTGGTTGGAATGAAAACCCGCAGCCACACCAGCCCTTTGAGGACCGGTTTGATACCCTTGCTCTAAGGCATGATGTTTAGTTTTGCTTTTCAAATTAACCATAGAAATATGAGCATTATCAAGTCTACATCTTTGGTGCGGGCTTCTACATGTACAGTGTAAGTGGAAGACAGATGGGAGACACAACGAATACCTAAGAAGACGTGCAATAAACGACACAATCACTAAGCAATGACCCCTTGTGAACGCAGAGAATGTACACGCGCTGTTTTTGCTGCGGTTTAGATAAGAACAAGGGGAGGGGGACTTAATCTCTGCATCAGGAGGCCCCTGGGAGCAATACAACAACACATCCCATGTATCTGTAACTATGTGTATATGACAACCCACTGTATTATTGCTCCAGATTTATCACCTTACAATGAAAATCAAAGGGCATTTTATGTGAATCTCCCACTGAGGTCGTCTCTTTGGGAATTGCAGGTTAAATAGCAAATCTAGATTATTGTGTATTATGAGAAACTGCAGACAACGGGGTTTGTGTCGGGAGAGCGGAGCCAGAGTTGGACCTGGACAAGTCCTGGACACATTCATATTTGTGTCTTTCTCCTCAGGGCTTTCAAGTCTCTATGTGTAAAGTGTGAACGCGGCTGTACAGGATTTATTTCGTCCCTGTAGGCCTACACATACATAATATTCAATGTTTTTTAAGAATCCAAATGAGCCTATTGTGTGCTGTCTCCATCTTTAGTGGAGTTGATCTGGACGGTAAGGCTGTTAGCAGGCTAGTTGTTGTATGAAGGAACATGTTGGGATTACTGCAAATGGAGAAAAAAAAGTTAGTTTCATATCTGTTTATTTCTGAAACAGTAAAAACCAGGTTCAGCACTTTTAAACCTATGTTTGAAAGACTGGGGCACTGTATAGACTGCAAAAGAAACACAAGTAAAATAATGTCCTTGTTTGGTTATTTATGTAACAAAGGGGAGTGTGTTCAGTCCATGTTTACTGCAGGTGAAGCAGGTTTTTGTGTATAATTTTGACAAAGAAAAATGTACAGTACTTTCTGTTTTAAAAAAAAATGATATCCACATATAGGCAGCACTTAAGCCATAGGGTTTCAGGAGCAAAACAAAGCTGATGGAGCAAAACAAAGCAGAGAGTCGACTGTTTTAACTGTTGATCAAAACACTTTGGTAAATCCTGTCTATTATGACGATAAAATTCTCCTAAATCCTACTCTACTAAAGTTATACACTTTGCTCTGACTCCAGCCCTAATCACATACAAACAAGTCCTGTGTATTTCCCTGCACTTCCTCATCTTTCTCTGCTGTTCACATAAACACACTGAAGCAGGAATGTGTGCTACATGATTAGCTCTGGAGATAAATAAGTTGTTGATTCCCTAACAACAGATCAGAGAATAAAACAGCTCAAACACAGGAAATGTGATAATAATACCCCTTGGTCCACTGGGTGCGGGGTTGACCACTGTTTAGACATTTTAATGAAGGTCCTTAAATGTTCCATATTATGCTTTTGTTCATATTTCACAGTCAATCCTATGCACCTGTGTGATAGTAATTTGAGTGACACACCACACAGCACTCAACACTTGTGAGATTATAGCCATCTCTTGTATAGAGGTGACGTCACCTCGACTCAAACAGGCTGATTCAGAGAAGAGTCTGCTCCTCTGTGTGTGAGCCCGCCTCCCCCCGCCCGCACGGACATAGCCCTCACGCTACGTCACCGGTAATAGTCATTTCAGACATAAGAATAAACTTTTTCCAACAATGACAATCTGTAACCCTATGTCCTCGGTCCACAATCAGACCCTAATTATTTAGTTTACAGAATTATACGGCGAGTTAGCGTACTCACAGATTGGGGGTCCGAGTCAGCGTCTTTTATCGTAGGAATAACACATGTTTCCAGATCAGCTTTTGAGTAAGTCCAGTTCCATTGTCCCTGTAGTTCTGGAACAGTCTCAGTGAAGTGTTGCAGATGAACCCTCTCATTCAAACAGAGGAAGATCCCCGTGAGTCGAGTCGCTGTCTTCCTCTTCGGGCCAAATAGTGCGTCACATATTTACACCCAAAACACATATTTTATCCAAATTGTCATGATCCCAACACTTTTAGCCGCTGACAAAAGCAGAAAAACAGTAGCTCCATGTGGTGTCCTCGGGACCAAACCACAGCCATACGCTGTACTCGGGAGCCGGACTTGGGAGCTGGTTGTGCGCTGTGGCTTGCTGTTTTGATTTGTCAATCACCTTCTGGATTTTAGTATTATTATTATTTTCATTATTTTTGACAAATAACAGCATACTTATTGCGTATTGTTTTCCCTGGTTTGATGATAGTATTTAAGAACCATTTTAAATGCAAAGCTAACAGGCTTATGTGCTTCATATTTGTCATCAGTGTAGTTATCGTCACAGATGTGGACCCGGGCGTTTCACTGCCTCTCGAGGGTGAAGGAGACTGATCGCTCTCTAACTAAAGATTGACAGAATCAATGAAAAGAGTACTCTGGGCATGTTTATGAGGCCAAATAGCACTGTAATCATGTTCAAAGCAGAGAAACATTTTAATATGGGACCTTTTAATGTCCTGGATCATCACTGTCCTTAGACCTTCCTGCATCAGCGAGAAACCACTCAAAAACACAGTGAAAGAAAGTGAGAAAACAGAGGAGGTTTAAAGTGAGCCCGGTCTACACAGTCCCCCAGTCTTTTACATGTGATAATGCAAACAATAAATCACTTGTGACGTATCTTACTATTCACTTAGTCTTTGAGTAGAGTTTAACTTCTGGAGTGAAGCCGGTGAAGAAGGTCGCGTGTGAATCGATGTACATTTTTCAGGGATGTAAATACGTCTGCTAAGGGGTTTTAGGGTCACAATCATCTGCCGGACAGAACGTAAGCTATTGTGATGAAGAACTTTACTGTATAGAGAAAAGCATATAACTGTATTTGTGTTATGTGTGTACACTGTAATGTACATTTCTGACGATGTGAATAGAGAAATATTAGTATTGTATAAGATTTATAACATGTGTCATTGTATAGAGCTGAACAAATCCTATTATTAAAAAGGTTATCTATCTAAGAGGACTGGTCTGTGTTTTGTCCACATCTATTTATTTGTGTACAGCCCACACACAGATCAGAGAAACGAACAGGTCAAACACCGGAAATGGTCCATAAGGGGCAGATGACCACTGTCCAGAAATGTTCCTCAATGTCCCGGACTGTCACTGTCCTTAGACCCTCCTGCATCAACAAGGAACCAGTAAAATAAAATAAAAACAGTGGGAAAAATGGGAGAAGACTGTTGAGAGAGGGGTTCTAACAGGTAGTAGATCCAGGACTGAGGCTGTAGATCCAGGAATCAGGCTCTAGATCCAGGACCGAGGATGTAGATCCAGGACTGAGGCTGTAGATGCAGGACTGAGGCTGTAGATGGAGGACTGAGAATGTGGATCCAGGACTGATACTATGTGGTACAGGACTGAGGAGGCTCCCAGGCGAGGAGCGGGTGTGCAGCGGGTGAATAGAAATGACTACAGCTGATGTCATAATGATTACAGATGAAGTAGGAGAGAGGAGATAATAACACAACAAACAAGGATACATACAAATCCACTGCTCACAAAACATTCTAAGCAGCCAATCTCTTTAATCAATGCTTTCAGGAATTGGACAATGACAAAAGTTCCAGGTTTTTTCACATTTTTACCGTAGAAAACAGCAGTATGGATCTGAAACAGTGGTATCAAACATGCAGCCCCCAAAAGGTGTTCTGTTGCCCCCTAGT